ATTGAAATCGTGGTTAGTTGTAAGACACATACGCGTCTAAAATATAATTTCTAAAATAGTTGCTTTTTTATTTTATGAGTATTTACTCACGCGCACTAAACGTGGACGTATTATAATTTATTATTTGTATACATTTATCTACACATGTTTATTATACACACACGCGCACACAGATATGTTCATAAACTTAAAATATAGTATTTATGCGTGAAAGGGAAATTTCTCGTACGACGACCGTGGGATTGTTGTAAGAATACACAACGATCTTTATCGTCCAAACGACAATTACTGCAGACCATACTAATACTAATACAATTGTTACTGTTACTACCAGTTCTCCGATGTATGACTGTTGTAATAGAACTACTACAACAAAAGAGAGATGGTCAAGAAAAAGAGCGAGGAAGAGAGAAAAGAAGAAGAGAGAAAATTTTCACCAGTGGCGGTCCTTTTTTGTTTTGTTTTTTTATTACATATTTAAAAAAAAATGTGTCTCATGCCTTGTACGGTGCTTTATCGGATGTCTACTGTGTTATCGTCATCGCGTATTCTCAGTACTGACTTGTGGTTTTTACAAGACGTTTAAATATTTTTTGTCGGGTAAGTACATTACACGGCTATCGTTTTTTGTGCGAGTACCGGCACTGGGTAAACACTTCACACGCGCATAGGTATAACTCACCACCGCCGATTCGATGAGGAGAAAACATACTCCGTCGTCACCGTTACGGACGATTTTGATGACAATAATCTTGTACTATCGCGCCGTAACTTATATGCGTGTAGGTTATTATTAGTTCGATCCGCTGTACATTCGCGCGTACTATGTATACGATCCTTCGACGTATAAATATCACATATAAATACAATCACACAATTATGGTACAATTGACATTCCATCGTTTGCACACACACGTTGTACGTTGTACCGACGTTCTGCGCAGTTACACGTGTGCCACATCCATCGTATATGAACTATATATTATTCGTTTACATCGTGTAAGCGCAACATAGATACCGGTGAGACTCGTGTGTGTGCATTGTGGAACGTGTGCTGCGTGTCGCGAATCGCTTCGTAACAAGGGCGTATTTGAAGGGGAAGGGGCGAAGGGGGCATTCGCCCTCCCTCCCATGGCTCGTATTTTTTTCGAATGTAATACATTGATTTATTTAAAAAAATTAATGTACAAATAATTAAGAATATAAATTACTAGTCTATCATTATAATATGTTATCATTATAACAGGAACATGAGCTGTAGGTAATGGACTGTAAATTATTTTTAAGTTTGAATTGAAGAAAAATTATTTTGCCCCCCTCCCCCATGACCACAACTCAAACACACCCTTGCTTCATATAACACGGTTAATGTGTTTTATACATTATTTATGAACATAATTTAATCGAAATAAACGAATTAGTGAGATGATAACATACATACATATATATATTTACAACTTCAATCTCACTTAGAGGAAGTCAACCGCGTCCATTCATCATATCTCTCTTAGATCTAGTTATGGTTCTGAGACTACGCGCGCTCAAATTTAGGTTATCAGAAATGGACAATTTTCCATAATTATACGGTTCACGGTTTGATTTAGTTTAACGTGATCGCGAGAATCAGACGAAATAAACAAATGGTTATGCAAACACAACAAATTACCCATAGACATGTACAGTACCCATAATATGAGACATGTTACCATTCAAACTTTGCCTTTTCGAGAGTTTCCAACATTTATATTATTATTGTTGCTTTACATAACTTCTCGGCCAAAAGTCATACACATGCGCGTGTATGAGGAATAATAAACTAAAAATCAAACGGTTAGGGTGAAATACAGGCGAGAACACGTTCTTTGCGAAGATGAATGTTTTGAAACACAATAACATGGTTGGACAAAACGATATCGAGCACGATTGTTTTGTTACGGGCCGGACGATACGCATTTGAAAGTGTTTTAAACACTTAGAATTGGAACACGCGTTCATTGCGAATGCGCTTATTTCCGTACGGATTAATATAATAATTAATCATCAGCATTGTATTCAAATTTCTTTCAACGTTATCCGCCAGACAAGCACTTTCGAACCGAAACCAACTTTCGATTTTCAAACGGTTGCCGTTTGAACGTATTATTAAGTTTAATGTAATATTAAGATTTTCGGAAATAGCTTCGGAACAAGTTCGCGCGAACGAACCGGTACAATGCGTTATTATTAATTAACGGTCGGATCGGACGGCCGCGCGGTGCCGTGAGAGCCACAAGGAAAAGGATATCCGACGGCCGCTGCGGCATACAATAACGAAAGAAAGTCACGTGCGGCTGCGGCGTGCGCGTGCTCGCGCGCACCATCTGTTTTAATTATAACAGCGACAACGGCGCCGCGGACCAAACGGTTTTCATTATTTCCAACGACATTTTACGCGTTTTGCCTCTGTTCAACCGCGTCGTGTAACTGCCACTCGAACACTTCTTTTGTTTTTCGTGTTTTCCATACGGCCGTGCTCACATCTCGTCCACACGTCGTCGTCATCAATCATCGCACAAGTCCATTGAGCGCTCGACGCGCATATGCTCGGTCGCTCGGAAATTCTAATGTTCGTACGGAAACGTGACGGCCGTCGGGCAAAACCCTCTTCGCACCGCTTCGAGCGCTGTACAAAATATTACCGTCTTCTGCCGTATCCATACGGTAAACGCGATCGAAATCGAAATCGTAAGCGACTGCGGTTCTACGATCGACAATACGTTTGGGTTTCGAAGGGAAAAAAAACTCGTCGCACGATGGTTACGTTTTATTAGCCATCAGTTATTTTTACGATTGCTAGTATCTTTTCACTCTCTCCGAACAATATGTATTATTAATCCATCAAGTCAATAGAATCACACAGAAGTATCCGGTTAATAGAATTCGTGTAGTACACGGTTAACTTGTTGATATGGTTAAAGCTGAATATCGTAGTTTCACTAGATTTTGCGGTAATATTTTCACGGGACACTTCATTACGAATTATAGTTAGGTCCGACCATAAGACTACTATGTACCTACATAATATATTTCCAAACGTGTATTTCAATAAGACTTGTATGAATTAATGAAATTTGTAAAAAAAAATGTAAACATTAATAGTTTAAAATAATGGAAAGTAAGCAAAATAATGTAAATAAAATATAATGCTCCGCGAAAAATATTAAAAAAACGATTGGTAAAATAGAAAGGTTGTATTACGTAAAAAGTAGTATTTTTTTTTTTATTTAATTTTTTTCCAAAACAAAATTAATGTATCCCAAGTGATTATTATTATTGTGATTTCATAGAGTGCTGGTTCCTACTCATAAAACTCAAAAACGTTAAACAGTTATATACATTAGATTTTTACGATTGTGATCGGTTACATTGCTGATATTTAACAAAATATATAGTTATATATAATTTTTAAAAATGCAAATGTTGCTTTTTTTACCAACATCCATATGGGCTTACACTTGTATATTATTATTATTATTTTTATATTTTTATATTTTTACATTATATATAGTCGGTTCAATATAAATCTATTATTTTTCTCGTCGGACCTAACTAAATATCATAGACATATAGTTGATCGGTTATAAGATCTCAAAGTCCAACTCGAACGGAAATAACTAGGTCCATTGCGAACCGTTGGACTTACATACAATGTACCATAACCGAGAGGTAGCAGTGTTAGGGGTATAGATGGTGGTTTCCTCCTGGAACTTATATTACTGGACTACGGATCTGCGCGAATCTTCACCACGGTTGCCATGCATACGATGAAGAAAAGCAACACGTATCTGTCTGTGCCTCGCAAGTTACGATTTGCAGCGTCGAATACCGTGACGGTGACGACTGCGAGAGTAGCAAGTGAGAGCGATCAATTGCCATTTGGTCGGTCACCTGAAGCTGCGAGTGACCGCGCAAACCGTACGGGCGGAAGAGAACAGTAGTGTGGTGATTGGTTGTCGCGGTGATGTCACCGCCGAATGCGGTGGAGCGCGCTTACCGTCGCAATTTCTCGAATCCGATATGAATTATCGTTATGGAATATCATTATATATAAATAGAACAGAATATTCAATAACAAATTATTTTTCCACCGCCCTAGAAGCCGTCTGCACACACGCGCGTGCACAGAAAATATACACGTACGTTCATCAACTCTCACCCGTGCATCGACCACCACCCGTAGCGTTTTTATAATAATACGGTATGTACTCTCTACGAAAACAAAGTGCCCAACACTGAAAACCGGACGAAAGAAAAATATTGTAAAAAGAAAAAAATAATCGTTGTCTTTCACCGGATCGCGCACCAATCTCTCGATGTAACGATTAGTACGACCAGCACGCGGACGTCCGCTCCCGGCGAAAGACCACTGCCGAGGTCGTGATATCGTACGCGCGCGTTCCGGCCGTTGCGCATTGTCGTCGACTACAGCATTAGATTGGCAAATTACGATTGGCAAATCGGAAATCCGATGAGGGCTTCCAACGATGCATGTGGCGATAGAAAACGCGTTCGCCAACGACAATTGCGACAAGATACTTGTGTACTGTTTATTTGTTTACAGTGTCCACTGAATCAAATACTGTAGCGTTTACGTCGATGGTTTCTGCTATTATTTGTTGTAATCATATCGTTATTATCTTTGATCGTATCGAAAATCATAATCAGATGGTACTTTAAAAATGTTAACGTTTTCTAGGCAAAAAGATTTTCGTTCAACAAGAAAATGTATTTCCCTAATATTAGTTATGCGTTTGATAAGGCGTCACGTAAAACTAAAATATGCGTTTCGCCGACCTTCGCGCCAAATCGATTTTCGAATGAAACCCGAATCCGCCTATGTTTTGAAAATACGTTAGAAACGACTTGGATTTTTTCGGCGCGTGGATGGGCGTCAGAGAACGGTTTTGCGGACAACCAAAATGTAAACGCGATCATACGGAAATACTATGGTGACTACTCACCCAATAGCGCGCGGTCAACGACGGTCGCTGCTGACCGTTGGCTTCGTCGGTCGGTACCACCTGCAACGTGGTCTGAATGATGGCCGTTGCCGACGGTTTCGTCGTTATGGCCGATACGCCGGTGAACACGACTGCTGCTACGAGCACGGCCGCGACGGCAACCGCCGCGGACCTGGCCGTCGCCATTAGCTCGACGCTCGCCCTCACGTCGATCGTATCGGACGCGCAACGGTGTGCCCGGAACACTGATCCTGCGCTACAGCTGGGTTAGAAACGGAGAAGCAGATCGCGATTACGATTCGCTTACGGACAGAAGCAACAGCAATTTAACGTTGAAACGTTACGATAACGCAGTTTTTATCGTACGACGACACCCGCGAGTGGTCCTCGCGCGCCGTATGTAACGATGTTAAACTGTTATTACTCCGCGTGAGCGCGACGCTGAAGTGAAACGAAAACGGAGAGAAAATCGCTGTTCACGCGGTTGTTTACAAACATACGCGGCCGTTGGACGAACCTAAATACGATTTCTTTACTCGACCACGAAAGTACGCGCGTTCGGCTCTGCGGTCATGTTGCGCGCGGGACTGTTTCGTCTTGCTGGTCTCCGTGCGGTAGTGTTCGCGATGGACGCGGCCGGTCGTGCTGCGGTGCGGACTTGTACTGACGCCGGTGACCGTCGAAGAAAGCGACCGCGACGCGATTCCCTCCATCGCGGCAGCGGTGCGGCGGCGGCGGTCGGTGAAAGAGCGCGACGTCCGCGGGGACGGTTGCCGCAAGAGAAAAGTAGCCGCTGGCGGCAGAAGTCCGCGGACGGTGTGCGAAGGCGGTGACGACGTTACGGGCGGTTGAAACGGCGAGAGAGGGGAAAAAAAAATCGGGAAAAAAAGTGACCGTCTCCTCGCGTTGAATCCCACTGACGGCCGCGGCGCGCCGTAATACGTGCGCGGCGGCGATCTTTCTTTTACCCGCAGAAGTTTCCCGGAAATTTCTCCGAACGCGAGCGCGCGCGCGCGCGCGCCCGGTCGACTCGGGCACATAATATCGCGTTAATGATTATGTTCCATTATTGTTGTCGTCGCGTCCGTCGCAGTCTCCCACGCTGTACCCCGCGCGCCCGCCCGATCGACGCCGCGTCCGGACGTCCGTCGCGCGCCGCCGCCCGGACCCGCGTTTCCAATTTTTCCGTGAACCGCCGAGGGGAGGGAGTTGATCTCCCGCAGCGGACCCTCGATCCGGTTCTCATCGCGTACACGGTATATTTACGCGGGCCCGGAATAAAAGGGCTGGAAAGGTATAAGGGTTGAAGGCCCTCCTTCCTTAAGCCTTTTAGGTACTCGAAATGTTTCAAATGTTACCTTGGTTTTCGATTTATCGATTAAAGTAAACAGGAGCAATACCACACACCTGTATCGCTTTACGTTATACTGCTCATTGACACTTGTGATTGATAATCGTGATTATTTGCACAGTCAACAATTATCCAAACCTAAAAGTATGGAAACGGAGGATTTGTCGAATTGATTTGTTAATAAACTGCGTAATCGTGTCTATGTTTATATTTAATTTTTTATTTCTCCGAAAGGATTATGGTGAGGGGGCATGTTTTCGTGATGTACAATATTATAATAATTAGCTATACATTCGTATGAATACAATTCACGTTTAATAAAATAGAGCTAATTAAAACATACAATTTAGGTAATAATAATTATTATAAGAAACTTATAGTAATACATTATTCGATCAACTAGATTAAAGGTAGGTATGTAATCTTTAAAATGTTGTTCATGCTGCAGTCGATTAGCTATATATATTTTTTTTATTCTATTTAAGGAACGATTTTTTTTTCATTTCAATTGGTAACATATTATATATTCCTGGTCCTATACATAGGTATAAGTGCACTGAGCTAGAGTTATTATTGTAGACTTGGTTTATCTAGTATAGACTGTTATATAATGTATGCAATAAAAGGTAATTTTGTTATTAAAGCGTTTTATTATTTTATAACACGCTTGTATGAATATCGTTTTATTCAATTTAAAAACTTAATGCCAAAAATTTTACGCACTTGATGTACATTTTTTTGTCCAGTTCCCCCCCCTTTTTTTTTTTGATTTCTTGATCCACGCCTGTGCACGCATTTGTGTTTATACACGCGCTTAATGTGCGCGATACGTTTTATCGCCGCCACCACCGCGTGCGCGCGATCCATTACACTTCCTCAAACGGTTCTTAGAACGTTTTCCCGGAAATTTCCAACGTTTCGTCGTACCTCGCTGCTCTGGACACGATTTGCGATTTTCGTTTATCATACACACCTCCTGTTCCGATTGAACGGGCGATACCGTGTGAAAATATTAAATACCCTGATGTCCGGTTTAGAAAAAAAAAAAATACTAATTTTAACCGTGTAAACGGTTGTAACTTATAACAATCATTTCAAAACTGAATCAGATGGACTGCGAATTCATCACGCCCAAGAACTATATACATTGGTGTGAAATATGCGTACTCATAAGTGAAATATTGAAAAAATGTTCAGTATAAAATCGCGAAATATGTGAAAACTCTAAATTCTGAACATTCTAAACAGACCTGAACTTAAAACAAGAACTATGAATTTACACCTGCGAGTAAATAATAAAAAGTATAACTTCAATCTTGTGATTGATATTTTTATATTTTTTTAAATATTATCTCGTGTTTAAAAATAAAAAATAAAACCTAGTACCTAATATACAATGGATACAGTTATTCTTGAGAAAAACCTTGAAGACCTATGGTAGTGATGAAATTAGAAAAAATAAATAAAATACGCAGAACAAGAAAAATATTCTTAAATAGAAACACTGAACACTCGATGAAAATTTACTATGGTATAATTGTATGCATGTATGGCAAATTAAAAAGAAATTAAAATTAGATTTTGTATTTATATTGTGGTAATATATTAAAGATAGGTCTGTAATCACTACACTATATTACATGTTACATGTTTTATAATTTATTACAGTATAGTAAGGCTGCTTACGAACTGAGTCCCAGTATAACCTTTTATGACGAATTGAGTCCAGTGAAATTATAGGTATAATACTAATTGAGTCCATGTTTTAATACTAACTGAGTCCCGTAAAATTAAAAAAAAAAACATTTTCCTTCCCATTTTTACAGACTTAGGACTGTCTGTAACAAAAAATTCTACTCACTTAATATAACTTCATCCATGATTCTTGGCGTACCTCGTAAACTAGAGTGTTTAATATAATGAAAAAAATGTCCGGCCTAAATAATATGTATTATATTATGTTATCTGACGAATGTGATGATAAAAATGATATCGGTAGACGGTGATTATTATACAAGCGATGATAGAAATAAAATCTAAAATTCCCGACCCATAGTATGATATGTTACTATATTATCTGACGAAAGTCATAAAAATGATATGAATGATATGTATATATAGGTATATCCGTATGGAGCGGCTGTGCAGCATAATTTTAATTATTATTATTATTATTTTTATTATTATTATTATTATTATTATTATTATTATTATTATTATTTATTATTATTTTTATTATTATTCATAATTTTCGCTGTGCCTGGACTCTGGATGGTTATTTCATATTTTACTCAAAATAATCCTCGGACTCAATTCGTATACAATTAGTTTCCTAACCACGGACTCAATTAGTATATGTCTCGTTTGTACCCGGGACTCAATTAGTATATTATTTTTTCCCCGTTCAGGTATAGGGACTCAATTAGTATACAGTGTATAGTAAAATGTGATACAAATTTTACAGGGATTCGATGTGTACTAATAAATAGTTAATTTATAATATATTTATCAACATTTAATACAAATTCATTGTATCATCAATAAAATATTTTGGACACGAATGTTATACTGTGTTTTAAGGAAATTCCATTTATATTTTATATTATACGCAATTCGTATTGGATTTTTAACGTTATTAAATTTATGAGCTATTGAACGTAATTTCTCAACTAAATTATGGGTATGTGATTTTCCTTCAGAATGTTATCAAAAATAATGCTTAAATATCATATTTTTTAACACATCTCTATTATAATTGTACAACTACTTAGATTACAGTTTTTACCGGCAATACAGGTATTATTTTTGTATCAGACATTCATCATAATTTTTTAAAATCGTTCAACATTTCTCATAATACACCTATCTTTATATATTATCTTTTATATGTAGTTTTCCCTATCTAAATTGAGACATTATATCTAGTAGATATTAATCAATGTTTTGGATTTGACAATGGAGCACAGTCATTTGTAGTTAATAACTACCAAATTATATTATATAAAATTACTGTGAGAGTAAAAAGGGCTCAAACTTCCGAGGAGAAATGAAAGAAAGAATATCACCACTACCAATATGAATACTGTAGTGTTTGTATCAAAGGAGCTGGTACGCAAGGTTCTTCTACTTCAATTTTGTTTTTATTTTTTACTTTTGCTAATTCACTATCCTAAGTAATGCTGTACGAAACTTATATAACAAAAAAAAAAAACCTAAATAAAATAAAATATAACATAATATTTTAATTGTTTATAAAATAAAAATTAAGTGTTTACTTGATACAATATAAAAATTAAAATTTGGTTATGGTTCTTACGAAGGATGTTTTCAGTTCTTATTAGAATTACCTTATTCGTAAGTACGTATAAGTAATATAATATATTATTAATAATATAACATAAATAATAATAATAACAACGTTCTACCATCAATCACTATCTGTTATAAGATATTTGAAGAAAAAATTAGATATCTGAGAAAAAAGAATGTAAAAGACTATAAAAGGTAATACACGCTCAATGTTGAAAGTATTATTATTTATTTTTCATACAACGTTCAGATTATTGACGAGTTTGTTTTTTGTAAATATTTAATAGGTTAAATAAATATTCCGGTATAGTTTCTTGTAAAGTAATTTAAGAAAACATACAACGTAAATTAATTAAAAAGCGAATAGTAATGGTCACAATAATTGGATAAACAAATATTATACTACAAAATTAACCCCCCATGCTGCACCATAAGATACGTGCTATACTAGTACATGAATAAAACATATAATAGTAAACACCATCTGATATTTTTCATGTGGTGCGAACAGGGCCGTCCCGAAGGGGAATATTTGGGGGGGGGGTGTCTCACCCACTAACAAAAATACCAGTCGGCAGTCGAACTTGTTTCATTATAGCCTAAAAGGACCTAATTTTACTTACGGAAAACAAATATTACATATTTCGTAATACAATGTATACATGAATAAAATATATATAACTACTTATTATACAACATAATATATTATATATATATATATATATAATTAAATTATCAATTTTAAGAACGTGCGACACTGACACATATATTTTATATACATATATTAATATTGTATTATATTATACATGTTAAAAAGTAAAAATACGACTACATAGTAAATTATACTACATACATTGAGTAAAAAAAATTGTAGTCGGCAATTTTCATATTATTCAACCCCCCTTTATTTTCATCTTCGGGACGGCCCTGGGTGCGAAGGAAGGTTTCGCCACTTATTGCTCACCTCACAGATAAAGTTTTATATCGGTCGGTGTTAAATAATCAGAGTCGTTTTCAAATTCTG